GTGACTATGTATAATATTTATGTATTTAAAAAAATAAGTATATAAGTAGTATATCCGTTAAGCTAGCACCCATAACACAAGCATTAAGTTGCTTACTTTGGGGCTAGCTGGCGCTGTGTGAAAATTGTCCAAAGATTTGTCCAAAGATTTATAATTAGTATCTTTACACACTTAGAAGTATAAAACAAAGAGGCTGTCGCTGTCTGTGCCCTTAGTTCTATACGGATTTTAATGCGGTTTTTAGCAGCAAAAAGGTTTACGTATAATACACAGCACCTGTGCGAAACCAAGGCGGGTTGCTAGTTTAATATACCATTTTTCCTTAAAATATATAAAAAAGAAACAACAAGATCTGGTAGTTAATCCTTTCTAACAAGGTACAATCTTAATTGTTGCTAATCCGTTCGTGTTTTGTTTCAACTCCATGTCCCAAACAAAAAGTCTTGCTAATTAATAAAAAAAGTTGTGGAATTAAAACAATAGGCGGTTACAATCAGATTCAGTGGTTACATTGTCGTGTTACCGGTAAACGAATCGCGTGCCCGCGCTGCCCCAACGAGCCCCTAGGATCTTGATATGCCCTAGCCCATACTAATTATACTTTTGCTTATTACCTGTGACCTCAAGTAGCGAAAGACTAATTACTGAGTCTATCAGGAACAACTCGAGACACGTATTAAAACTTCAATTAAGATAAAGAAAGCTGAAAATTTAATCAACGTATAAACGCTTACCAACTAGAACTCGCCCAACAAAAAATAGAAAAATGTAGTAGAGAATGCCGAATACGAGTATAAAAATTGTTGCAAAATTATTTTATACGCTGTCTCGAGGCTTATTTGAATACGACCACACGTATACGTTCATTCTATGCAAAATATGACGAAGCTTCATATGATGCATACAGGAGTGAACAATATTTAAAACTGGGGCCCGCACCAGTTACAAGTTTATTGTGATCCGCGTATGTAAAAGATTGAATGATGAAAAATGCACTAGCACTGAATTTGTGATTCTGACAGGATTCGCAATGAAAGATAGCACGACAGGCGGGCGCGGCTTGCCGCTGAAATATGTAAGTATTTCATAGTGTCGAATCTCTTGGCTGAAAAAATTCTTGATGATTTGTACACGTAGTGGCGCGCCGAAAATGTATTCGTGTATTTTCCTTTGCTTTTAGCGTAATTGTTTCTGAATCATTAATAATATTCCCATCCGCTATGGATATCTTTCTGGGAATCTTGCTAATATTGTGTTTCTTGTAACTAAAATAAACGAAATCGTAATAAGATGAAATGAAGACAGTCAACACTCAACATCAGGTTATTTCCAAGCGATCTCTCTAATGGCCGCCGACAGACTTCAAATGTTTTTGTTATCGTATAAAATTACATCGCAATAAAAGTGAACACTTTCATATATGGAATTTCAAATATGTCGTAAAATAATACTTGGAATGAACTCTCGTAGTTGTCTTTGATCTAAGTATAGTTTGAAAATATATTTTGCTAGCAATTTATGCTTTAACATTCAAAGAGAGAATTTTACGGCTGCTGAAATGTTTTTAATATTTTTCAATTTAAAAGGGGATAATGCTAATGCTAATATTATTCACTCTCCTAAATATTGATAGCTAAAAATATTTGACAGGCGATTTCTACAATCGACAAAATGCATTTGAATTAAGCTGCAGCAGGTGTCTCTACACTATAACAAAACTTTTTGACAATATAAGCTTACATAATTATTGTTCCTGAAATACACGTCATAACTCTGTTTCCTCCATTTAGCTACGTTCCTAGGCTTATTGATCTACCTACACGTGAAAGCATGTGAACAGGCATGCCATATAAAGCATTCAGTCAACTTCAGACGTCACAGAGTATGCAAATCCATGCAACAAGGTTGCCGTCCCACCGGCGACGCTGCAAGGCTGCAGTCGCGAGCGCGCCACAGTGCATTTGAAATAAAGAAGTACATATTCATATTAGCTTTATTCAAAGCCCTATTACTCGTAATCAACCTTAAAATATTGTCTTAGAAGAAGAAGGCTCTTTCAGCCTAAGGAGGCTTATTCATCCAGCTATTGCTAGGCATTTTCTTGAGTTCGTCGTTATTGAGCAGGTCTTACTATGGTTGTGTCCACAATCTGCGAAGATTAATAACATTATCATAATATTATGAACTTGCATCACAGTGTTTGTAATAATATTAACCCAATATGATTAAACATTCTGCGTCGTATTAAATATCAATTAATTATACTTATTTCTCCTGGATTTATTAGCATTTAAGATGCAAAGTTTTGAAAAACCTATTGTCGCGGTTGATAATTTAACCCACGATTTCAGAATTCAGATTCCAGAGCAGTCGCCCAGCAAGCGAAGGAAATCTTTACTTTTGCGCGGACTAGCTTTACCGTTTAAACAAACATTGACTATGGCGATGACTGCAACTCAGTCGCGAGCCGCTGCGCCTGCCCAATTCCCGATGCCGATGTCGCATTCCCAAAACGAACTCCATTTGGCGCAGCGAAACATTGTCACATAGCAGACATCTGATGCTTGAAATATTTTTAAATTAAACTTTTTACGACTTTGCAAAGTAGATGTTGCAAATAAAGTACTTGAAAACTTGATATTGGTCAGAAAAAGTGGGTGCATCAAGCATGTATGATCCAGCGCCAGAGGGCAGAGTATAAAATGATAACAGTCAAATTCCATGGCGTGGACAACATAAAATTAGACTCTATACGTAGGAGTATGTATGTATACTTAAAAAGTGTAAAAAAATACTTTCACACTGACACACTGCGTTCTAACTCAATACAACTAGCCTAGCCTACCATCTAGTTTTCATACGATGACTCGAACTCTGTTTTGACTGTGTTATTCACTACTCCACAAACATAATAATTTCAATCACTATTGTCATAAATATATCCGAAAGACGAAGTTTATGTCCAGAGTCCTTAAATCGGATAGGCCCTAAAACAATTGCAGGACAATATTTGTTTCCAGTTTTATTTGTTCGGGCGCAGTCAATTTGTAGTTGTAGCCCGCCCTTATAAAAGTAGCCATTGTTGTTCGGTGCGTGACTCGATCCCGCTCGGCTGTTAGCTGGACGCGTGACCAGTACGTCTAGGACTATTCTGGAATACTGCTTAGAATGAAAAGCATAGTAAATTGATGTTTACATAATAGTATAAACCTATCATTAATTACGTGTATTCTTTAAAAATCATGAAGGACTTGTTACACGGGATGCGGTTTGTAGTCAAGTAAAAGTAAATGCAGCCCGCATCATATAACATGTCAATAAAAGTACCTATTTTTTTATAATTAGGCTTTTATAAAGCGCCTTTACACTCCCTGTGTAACCATACCACTGCTTCAAGGACATAATGTAGGCTAATGCTGGGAAGAAGCAATGCAAGAAAACCTATAAGTTTAGTGACTCGATTTTCAAATATTATCCGGCTTTTGTACCCATCATGTCGTATTCATGATTGTACAGCCTTCAGCAACTGTCAATATCGGCTGGCTGCTTTCTATTTTAAATATTTTCTCAAACTTTCATTCAATTATTGAATGAAAAGGGAGGTTATACAAACCGCCACAATAAAGGTACAAGAATCTATAGTCGCCCAAAACAGTAAAACGAACGCACGCACCCCTACGTGTCCTACGAACTTTAATAATAGGTATATAAGACGTGTGCCCGTGCAAATTCAAAGGAATGAGACAATCAGAGAACTCATTCTAGTCAGACCTTACTTAGCGATTCAATGTAATAATAAAAACTGACTGTAAGGGATGATTTTCACCCCAACAAATTAAGAAAATACAAGAAAATATTATGAACTGTTTCTGCAAGTTGATCAAGATGTTTAGGTTCCTTACGTAAATAATGAATTATTTATATCATTTCCAAAATTTTGCTACTTTTATCTACACTAATATTCCATTTAAAGTTAAGAGACTTTATTAAACATGAGTTTCAAGTTTTTGGATTTGACGTGTTGATCACATAACTTCGTGTTTTGCAAATAAAATAGCACTCGCGGCCGCCCGCGACTTCGTGCGTGTGGATCCCGTTTTACCCCCTTAGTGGTGGACTTTCGTAAAATCCGTTCTTAGCAGATATTTACACCTTATACTTATCGAACCTATCTGTCAAATTTCTAGGTTGTAGGTGTTTTAGTTTCTGGGATGTCGTGATTAATCAGTGAGTGGTATTTCGAGTTTCGCTACATTCGATTGCTACATTCAAATCATATTTTTTCTGGTTGTATGTCAGAATGAAATCTTCAGCATCCGTACAGAGAACAGAACCTTTGATGTTATTCTATTCTGGGCTCCAATAGCTCAAACACTCGCGTGTGACCTTCGTGGCCTTTGATGTACCTTTGATCATCTTGTTTATAAAAATATCTGCTTACATTATTGGAATTTAGGACATATCGCGAATATTTTGTCCTTATTTTATGTGTATGACATACATTTTCTGAAAGGTAATAAATATTAACAAGGATATAATGTTTGTGTTAACGGTGCCACCATTAAACCGAGTGTACTTCATGCAGTCTAAACACCAAACCCGCCGACATAAGTTGTCCTTTTTACATGTTGTCAAAGTCATAGAAAGTACAAGTAGTCGACATTCTTTTGAAATAAACCCGCCGACACCAATCTGCCGGGCTGACGGCGCACTTGTAGTAGACCTTTGAACGAGATTAATAGAACGAAACTTTGGAAGAGAGAACATTAAAACTAAATATTGCATTGTAGTTTGGCTGTCTAAGAAGTTGTGCACTTTGAGCTTCTAACTAATAAGATAAAGAAAGATGGGCATTTTATTCCTCCCGATATAAGTGGCGGTAACTTGATTTTCAAAAGTTAGATAGGTACGTTCCTATTTCCAAAAGTTCGACGAATATTACAATAGCCTTTAGATTCGACATAATTATAAATATTTAACACTGTTTTCTTTCTTTACAGATCATGTACGCGAGTTTTCGTGTGGAACTCTCTACTACAGAACTTTCTTCGTGGATTCCAAACGGGATGCTTTATACGTCGGCGCTATGTAAGTAGATCATTTAAAAAAGTTCACTAAATAACAGTAGTTTAAGTTTATACTCACCTAGGCACGTACTGGAATAATGACGTTGTAATTTTTTAACCTTAGTTTGTAGCAAACTTTGCAATCTCTGATTAAGAACCCACCCAATTATAAACGTCTTTATTATTTTCAAACGTATCGTAAACCGATTTTATACTTTAACGACTCAGTGACACTTTATCACTCCAATAAAAATAAAATAATATTAGTTTATTTACCCTGCCTTCATTTTACGCGAAAGTAGTTCTTAATACGGAGCACAAAGTGCTACATTGTATTTATATAGTGTTTGCTCTACTAGCTCAATATGATGAGGTGATATGGGTCGCTGCGTGTCACGAAGGCTACACAATACAGGAACTAATAAACTGGCCCATTTTCTGAAATAAAATGATCACCGTTAACATTCTTTTACTGCTTTTAGCGACAACATTGTACCCTAATTCTATTTCGGAAAGCAAAAGGAACTTTTGTTATCCCCTTGAATAGCTGAAGTTTGAGTTTAGGTGAGGATGTTATGCTCACAAAGTTTTCTTTTCTTTCAGGGACCGGCTGTATCGGCTCAACATGAACAATATTAGCGCATCGCATTGTGAAGTGAGTTTTTTTTTACATACTTGCTCGTTAAATGGTTTTAATGCAAAGGTTTTATTATCAAAATTGACGTAACAATTTGTTGTTCAATAATATTATCTAGAGCAAATAATGTGTATCAAGTGGGCAATAAACAATATGCATTTTATGATATTATGGCAAATTATAGAAAATACATTATTAGCTGCAATGATAATTATAATAACATTAATTTAGTACTTAAATCCCTTCTAGAATGTAAAGTTATTGAGAATATTTTCAAAGATTTGGGCTAGAGAGTTTTAGTAAGCATTACAAGGAAAACACCCTCAACATTGTGTTTCTAATTCCCGAACCCAGACAAGTTTTCTCTAAAACCTTTATTTTCTTCCACAGAGGGATTCGATAAATTTGGAGCCGAGCAACGTAGCCCAATGCGTGTCGAAAGGCAAGTCGGAGGTGAGTCGGCCATTAAGCCAAATGGAACGCGTCTCTGGCGCAATTTAATTAAAAACTTGCTTATTTCCCGTTGAATTACTCGCAACTAGCACTATTTCTATCAAGGGTTAATCCTATTTTTAACAGTGAACGGCGGGCGGCGGCATATTTCATGGCGGGAGCTTAGAGCGCGCGGTGGCTCGCTATATTAAAGCCGTTAATTTTGATTTACAATCGCGGCGTAAAAGCAATATTTGTTTTATTTCTCGGCCTCTCCCTCTCTAAGATCGGGGAACGATTATTGCGATGCTCGCGATCGACTAATTCGATAATAGCGAGGCTCTTACGGCCGAGTGCTTTTCTTCGCGTTGTGAACGATTTTGACGTTCTCCCTTTCAATAAACTGTATTAGGTTGTAATAAATTGCATAACGTCTAATTGAACAATAAGTGATAGGTTTTCTTTTTCGTCATTTTCTTACAAATGTTTTTAGTGACGAATATAAAACTAAAAACACAACAAAGCTCGAGTCCATTAAATTATCGAAAAACACATAGGTTTTACAATAAAATTCACCAGGTGAAGTGATTATAAGATTTTTTTATATAGCTACCTAACATAAAAACTTAAAGTACATAGGTCGGAAATAATGATACCCTGCACATAAACTGGTTTACTCTTATGTGTCTACGATGAAACGTATTAACTAAAGCAAACTTAGTTTTATACCCGCATGTTGCCTCGGCAAACAGGGTTATACATCTAATAAGAGAGTCATAAAGCTCGAAACCAGAAATGGAATGTCTCATGCGAAATGTATAAAGTCTCAAAGTAAGCAGTAAAACCCCTTTGCGACTCTAAAAGGTATCTTCACAAAAGGCAAAAAGTGTCGCAAGCAAATTCACAAGTTGGTTCAACTCTGGATCCGGCATGTATGGGCGAATAAAGGTCAAACTTTAGCAATAGCGCTGAAGGAAGGCAATAGACAACATGGTCCCAACTCTTCCGATGTTAAAAAAAAAAGTAAATTTGTTTTATTAGTATCAAAGAGGGCCATAAAAAAGAAATCTCCCGAGTCTATCACCTCGCCGGCAGAGGACCGGCCACTCGTGAAGGCTATAATCAAAGTTTCTCGCTGTCGGCGAGTTTTCCTTTCTCTAAACACGATGTCGTAACACGAAAAAGGCTGGAAAAATGCCGTCGGCGAAATTCCCGTTAAGGCGACCACGGCCCGGGCCTGTTGTTTTAAGTTCGCCTCTCTTTGTGACGCTATTAAGGAAAATTCACGGGCGAAGTAAATCACTGTTTGAGATTTTTAAAGAATCAAAATGTTCGCTGGCTTAGTTCGATATGCTCGAGCGGTGTGATCCTGTTATACGGTCCGTAGAATGATTTCGAAACTTCGCAGATTTTTTTTAACAATAAGGTTTTGAAGATTGGATTGGACTGTATAAAGGACATTGTCAGAAACCGCCTAAAAACCGCCCAAAAACATTAACCCATCATAATTATTTTCTATTTTTTTTAATACATTAAGCACCCATTCATTCTAATGGACACTTAAGCATTGAAAAATTAAATAAATAAGTCTTTTAACGTTTATTCTATAATACTATTACAACTTCCGGACGTTTTGGTGCGTGGCATGGTCTAAAACCTATCAAGTTCCATAATTTTTGCCGATAAAATCTGTACGAGGCATTACCGTACTTTATTNTGTTGTCTTTGGCATAGACTACGACGGTAGTCATGGAGATAGGAGTTTGTTATCTCGTGTCAGATGTAAATGGTGAAAGGAAAACTCATGATTCGTGTTATTTTTATGCAATATGTAGGTATTTTATAAAAGTGGAACTCCGAGTGATCTCCAAAACCCATTCTATTATTATATACGATTCGGCTTCGATATCTATAATACAATAGGAGTTTATTTCATGTGTCAGATGACAAGGGTGGAAACAACCTACGATTCATTTTGTTTATTTACGTGCAATATGTGGGCATATTATAAAAGTGGAATGCCGAGTTGTATTTCTAAAACTTGTTCTATTATTTTATACTATTTGGCTGCGACTCGGCGTGACGACAATACAAAACATTTTTCGCGAATCGGTGTTCATACATTCACACAATACATTAGACGCCATGTTGTCATAAACGACATATTATAAAATCGCTGTGATTTAATATTCTTAATCATTAATTTTATGGCAAGTGTCCACCAGGAATCATTGTTCTTACACACAGAATCGTATTATTTCGCTTTCGGGTAGTAATATGTCAAAATTGTTGGTTCTTAGGCGAATAATGTATGGAGAACGAACATTGTCCTTTAAGATTTATAACTATTGACCATCACTAAAAAAATGGCTTGTTTGCCCTAATTTTCCTTTGATTGTTCGCATAATTTTGGGAAGATACTGTCTCTACTTCCAGATATCATGTTTATTTCAATTGGACCTTTATTCGGTTGTTAGTGTATTTTCTACGACGAAGCAGTTTTTTTTAGCTGATACATACTTAGGTTTTTCTTTTTGGATTTTTACAAAAGCACTTACTTAAACTTTTCCTCCAGCAGCACTCAATATCCCCGATCGCTATGATAGCGACCGAAAAGCAAAAGCGCATTGGCAATGCAAATCGATACTCTTAAAAACCTAATAAACGCCGCTACAGGAAAATAGCGCACGAAAAAAAATCATTTGGTCGAAGAACGCGAGAAAAGCCGACCGTAAATCTACTTACGTACAAAGTGGCGAATAATTAACGAAATGGAGCAATCGAAGGCATTAGTTCGGAGTGAACTTATGCGAGAGCCGGCTAACTGCCGTTAAAAGAAACTTAGACGTGAGCCTGATTGTTCTTGTGCTTAATTCTGATTGTTTCTGCAAAACAGTTTTCTGTTCGCGTCAGTACAGCGGCTGAACGCTCAGAGTATATTAATCCGATAATTACTTTAGAACAATCTCTCGGAAAGTTGCCTCCGTGAGGCCGAACCAAGAAACTGTGGCGGAGTTTTTGCTACGGAACAAAACACTCCGGTAATTGTTTAGTTATTTACGTGTGGCCACTGCGTTAATATTATACGCCTATTAGAACTCTGCCCGCTTTAATTCTGCAGCGTCGACCCTTAATACAATAATTTATTGTACCAAATATAGCTGGCTGCAAAATAAACGATTTAACCAATTAATTACGTATCACAGCTCCATAATTTTAGACAGGTACGGAACCTCGTTAAGTTGCCAAATTAACGAACATTTTGCGTTTCATAATAATGCTAAAAATAAAAATGCTTTTACTTGAAAATGCAATGTACAGAATTTAATGTGATTGAGTACTCGGATATTATTCGACCTGCTCTGAATCTTCGAAATATCCATTTACAATTCAGTAAGCGTTACGTTACGCCTAATATTTCTTGACTTACAGCAACAATGAGTCCATTGTTAGTCCTTTGCACATGATTTACTCCCACGTTATTTCCTTGAAAACGTCCCTAATACTCGGAATCTACACAGCGGCGGGTCTGAGGTCATAAATATATCCTCTTGGAAATATGTTGGCGTCATTTTTCTATTCCATTTGTGTTTCGGTATGCGACAGTGGCGCCCAGTGCGGGCTGACGTGCAGAAAATTAGTTTCAATCCCAGGGCAACCGCGGCGACCGCCCAATCTGCGACATAGACAATACCTGCAACGCTTTTGTCAAATGCCTTGATGATTCTCGTGCGGCTTGAGTGACTGCGGTCAGTTTTGTTTCGTTATGTACTTTTGATCTTGGCAGTACTTAGGTAGACCTACTTGGCTTTTCTTCTATTTTTATGTTATTTAAAAAAAAATGCTCAGTATTTCCTAATAATTGTGAAAACTGCCTTTTGAATCTGTAAAGGTCCGTTATTTTGAAAAAAAAAATAAGATTCTCCGAACGGGCATATTAAAATGACGGTTTGACACAGCATTTCAGTAGCACTAATATAAAAAAAAACTTTCGAAAGTAAATTCTTAGGAATTTCAAATTTTTTTCTTCGGTTTTACTTTAATACCTGAAATTTTAAAATAATCAACATGAAAATATTTTATTAAAAATTAAGTTCGCCCAAACTGTCAGTACCAAGCAGACGTGTTCAGTTTTTTGAAAGATTAATCAGTTTTGCGCCGAAATGAACTGCACAGGCCAGTTGAGCGGGATGCTTTGTCCGCGGACGAGCGATGCATTATTTCTGTCGTTCCGAATATTAATGCACCGTTTAATATTTATGTTGGACGCAAATTTGCATAATCACGGCCTGTGAACACTCATACACACTCGTACTTCGCGAATCACTATTATTCCAACGAATTTCGCCCGGGGTATTTAGTAAATAAATTCGATTCCCTCCATTTTGGTCTCGCTCGTTGCTGGTCTATTTTAATAAATTTACTCTTGCGTGGTTACCGGAAAAAGATTCATTTTGTGTGCCACTTTTATGGTCTAAATTAAAGCGTCTCGCGCGCTCTCTCGCTGCACATGACAATTTATGCATTAAAAACCCTTGTGATAGAAATAGTTCGCTCCAAACTACGTATTTAATGGCTTAATTTAACTAGCATATAATAAAACATTAATCGACTATACCTCACATGTTTCTTGTAATTAATTTGCCATGAATTAACACGTTGTTATGTTCCAGCACTTCGACTGCCGCAACCACGTGCGCGTGATCCAGCCGATGGGCGACGGGTCCCGCTTGTATGTGTGCGGTACCAACGCACACAGCCCCAAGGACTGGGTGTTATACGTGAGTACACATTTTTAACATACATAAAAATATACAGGGCGTATGGGACAGATTGTGTCTTTTTGCCAAACAAATACTAATATTTTTTCTCTTCTGAATGAACTCTAAACTACAACTGCTTTGTTGTGTAATCCCGATTGAGACAAAACCTTAGATGGATAGTTTTCATATTTAGACCAGTCATAGGCTTGAACATTGTCATTAGTCTCTCTTGAATCATTATTACATGATACAGCACCTACAGTAAATATAAAAAAGTTGTACCGTTTAGAAGCTTAACAGCGTTAATGTGTTGTTAAAATTTTGGGTACATTTGCATAAATTAACGCCATCGTACACAATAAAACAGAAACATTTTCACATAATCCTTAAATACACACAGTTTAAAATAAGAACTTTTCCCTCACGCCCTATATTACATACTTTCAGCAATTTCTCTTGCTACAGCATTCGTAGCACGCGTAGAGTTTGACGTAGTAAGCGATCGGTTCTCTGATACTACGAGACTACGGTTAACGTTCTCGTAGCGCTAGCTTAACGTTGTAGCGTCGGGGAACTATGGATGCGCTCTCATGCGTAAGGAATTTGCGCAGATAATGGTAGTTGCCAAAAGCGCGTTCGGCTATGAACACCTACGCTGCTAAAACGTGCTCATTCATATCGGACATCAACTTAATTATTACTATACGTAAGTGTATATTCGCGTGTATCCAATCGTAAAATGAACTGCAAAAAAGAAAATATACTTCACGTGTCGACACAAACTATTATGTCCAAACTCGTAACCCTCTTGAACTGATTCGCCCCACACTTGGAGATGCGCCAGGCGCAACAGATTCGGCCGCTTATCGTGACGTGAACAAATGATATACTAGATGTACTAAACTAGACTGAATGATTCACTAGCGTTTTCAAATTCATGACAAGTTTTATTCATAGATCATTTCGAGGTCACCAAATACCCGAGTGAGTCTATAATTTCCAATACTATGAAAATTAGAGTCATTATTGGCTGTTACCTAGTCTATTTATTGTCAATGTTATATCTGTGTAACGCTATTGGTATCTAAATAAATAAATAAATCACCTTGACTTACAAATTGGTAGGCCATGATGGGCATAATGATTGCCGTATTTTCTCTCAAACTGTAACTTTGTCACTTGAAAAATAAAAAGAGAATAGTTGTACTTTTATGTATCTAATCTTTGAGTGATAATTATAATTATTAGGTACATTAAATACATAACATACTTACCCAAGTATATTGCTTAACTGGACAAAACAATACGTCTTGAAGACCGTGCCATCCACAATAGAAGGCGCCTCGTTACCACGCGATCTTAACCTAATTTTTGCTGCCATTTAAAAAGTTTATGAATTAATATTATCTACGTACATTGTCCCTTTCAACAAATTGATTCTCTCTCTGCCTTATTTTAGAGTTCGTCACAGATCTCTATCTACAACCTTTCTGGCGTCAAATCGTCAGTCATCAACAGCAGCCATTATCTGGAGGCTCTCGCTCGAGCTGATCCGCATGAACCTTGGACCGCTGCCAGGGCTCCACAGGTCCACATGTCGTACATACGGATCAACATCACATCTCTTTAGTTGAGGGCGCTTGCTGTTCTTAGATGTGTGGCTTTAGATTATAAGACAGGAAACGCGAATTGTAAGAACCTGTTGCAATGCAATTTTGTGTTCAAGAACTTTATTGTCTGATAGACAAGATACTATAGGTATTTTGAGAAATCATAAGGCCAATTAAAATTAAAATGTTAAATAGGTATTTAACGACTTTAGAAGGCCTTTGTTGGCCGTTGCTTCTAGTTTGTACGTTTTACTCTTTAACTATTTTGCTATATTATCTTCAATTATTTAAATATGTTGTTTTAAGCGTCAAATAACGTAACATACTAAGCAGATCGCCAAGGTAGCAGACCGGAATTGATTGAGTATAAAAACTTTCCTTTCAATTGCGAATCCATGGAATTCTTTCAAATGATCGTGGATTCCAATTCTAAATAGCAATTTAATAGTGCGCCAATAGAAACTGGCAATTTTTGTAACAAATAAAGCTGAATAACATTGATACCAAGCTGTCTATGTATCAAGTGAACTTATATGAGTAAGTTGCTTGCAAAGTGAAATTATGTAAAGGATACGGTGAAAGTACCTAAGCTCCATTTAATAATAATAAACGTTATTTGCAAATGGACTAGTACAGTGTGATATACAGCTTTGCACTAGGCTAAGCCAATGTCTCAGCAACCAGTGATTATTTATTACTAATTATTAATAACTGTACAGAAGCTCCGGTTCATCTGCTAATTACATTTTATATTTGAGTCGATCTTTGTCATAATTCGTTTACAAAATTGTCGGTACGTTTTATACTTGGATCAATATTTATCAAAATTCGTTGACAAATTGTCGGCTTCTACTGGCGCGAACTGTAGCGTGCATCTGCAACGCCACAGCTCGGGCGCGGAGACGGCAAATTTCACGGACAGTGATTTCGAATGATGCCGTAAGACGGTTTCAAGTCGTCGACGGGATTTCCCTGTGATTTCCTCATGCTATCCGAAAGGATTTCTATGCTATCGAGGGAGGGAATTCTTATTGGTAACGTGGCTATGGAAACCAGATAAGAAATTATGTGTTAGTAAAATTTTTATCGCTACTTTTAAGAAAGCTATCAAAATGGCTTAGCTAGGTGTTTGGTTCTTTTTATGATTTAAGATTTTATAGATAACTATTTTAGATAAAACGACATAGACGTGAGAATAATAATACACAAAGGTAGTATTTAATTTTAAAAATGTTTTGTTTCCTCTAACACTGCAGCACTGATTGATAACCCTTTCATGCGTCAACAAACTGTGAATCCGAATAAATCGAAGGTACGAATTCGAAATTCGCATTGCGTCTTCTAAACGAACGACTCTATTGAGGACATTTATTGTAATTTCCAATTCATGAATTTTACTGAAAATATTCGTGATAAAATAAGAATTTTTCAACACTTTTAACATTATACGAGTACCTATTATTGTTATTTACACCCTGTACAATAAAATTATCATCCCAAATAAGGAAGCAACCAAACATCAACTTCACGAAAATTCATACAACATTTTAAACAGTGAAAATTCTATTTGGTACCAAAGTTTTAGGTAAAATATCGTGTCATTATAACTAGATTTATTATTTGCACTCGGTTCCGAGCGTCCGTCCGGTCCGATAAGTGCCGTTATTTCCATGAAATTATTTTTAAAGTCGTAAAGCGCTTTACAATAGGTATCGAAAGCAGCCCGCAATAATTCAGGCCGCGTCCTCACCTCACTTTTCCTGCGTCTGACTTTCATATAATTTTATGATGTATAGTGGGTCTGACCCTTCACACGGTTTATCGTGTTTTTCAACGACCGCTTTTAGAGTTCGGCAGTGACTTCGGTACCCCAATAGTTTAGTCATAGCCGTTTATTAGTTAGCAGGTCATCTGCTTTTATGGTCGTGAGAGAGGTGTATTGGAGGGTTGAGGCGCCTCGATGAATGAACGTTTATGAGAATTTTAATCGATACTTAGGATGTGTTCCGTTGAAATTGAGGTATGTTGAGGTAGTAACACAACAAATAAATTACCAGTATTATTTCTTTTTTAAACAGTAAGTAATATTCTGCTGTATTTTATTGTGGGTAATGTTGTACCTACTAAAACTCATTTACTGTAAAGTATAATAAAAAGAATAAACGCTAGCTAAAATTGATATAACCTACCCAAAAATGGAAAATATACATAAAACGGCTAGGGGTCTGGCTGACTCTATAATCATAATGACATATCGCCGGCCATTTTGACCCCTCGCACGTTTTATCACCTCCGAAGCGGGCGAATTTTTATAATCTTATTACAAATTCGCGGTTTAAAGTGTACATAGGACGGGTTTATTGCACATAAAATGTATTGTAAACACGGATGCATCCTGCTGGAACCTCAGACGGCACCCTTCCGCCTCAGATAAGAACGAATCCGCATACAGACAAGTTTGAACATGAAAAGGGTATGAAAATCAAATAATGTTTTACGCATTGTTTGGCACAACGGTACAGCAACCCTTGTAAATATGTTGAGTTTCACGAAAACGGTGTAGACGTGGAATAGGTTTTTATTGGCCATAAAACTGAAAATTTTGGAGCAATCTCAAAGCAGAGCCTTTGTTTCATAATCCATGTAAATATTAATGTCAAGAAAGTAAATTACAACATAGTAAAGTCTTTACGTTAATCGTAAACTGGCTGTGAGTTAATACGTAATCAAAAGTTTTTACGAGTCATAACGAAAGTATTCAGATTTGAGAAAATCAACTTTTTACGAGCATCCATAAATGAGGTAATCTGAAATCAATGACACGTCATATTAAGTACCTAATTTAAGTTGTGAGCGGGAAAAATTGCAAGTTGCATTTTCCACGCGTCGCATGATTTATTCCAGACATTTCTGCGGTGGTGATAAATCCTATTATAAGTCAAATACTCAATGTAATAGAACGCCAAAAATTGAAAATATATTACTCCCGGTTTGTGGGGAAACGGGATGGGGCGTGATCCGGCCATTGTACAGAGCACTGCGAAAACAGAGATAGTCCTCGATTCAAGCGCGGACCGTCTTAATTCCCTTTCAAAACTGATTTGTTTTACTTTCATATCTTCTAAAGCATCAGCAATTGAGATTCGATTTAAATACAAAGGCTTTTATTCCATTTCAATGTTCAAGCAACAATAGTTTTGCAGCACTGGAATTACTTAATATTTCAGACATTTGCTGTTCTTGCGATTTGCATAGTTATTGCTGTAGTGGATTGTAGTTTTTAGAATCATATTAATGTTTATTTTTCAACTGAAATGGAATCTGAAGCATAAGTTTACTGCTATAAGCATTCAAATAATATTCTTATCTTTTGATATAAAACTACAACAAAGTCCAATCTCGTAAACC